TACATTTCCCTCACAGTCACAAACCCAAAAAGCAACACAATGGCACATTCTATTTTGTTACAAGTACCACATAAACATGGCATCTATATAATACTATACAGTAATAATAATGCGAGTGCTGCTGATAATAATTATTTTCGTTTTCTGCTATCGACTATATAGTACACTAGACTGGCCACACTCATACTGGTCATTCAGTAGTGCGTAAAATATATAATAAAAAAATATGACTGCCTCGTTGGTCTAGTGGTTGTAGTAGTGCGACTGCTGATAATGAGGTCCTGGGTTCAAATCCTGGGTCGAGCCAAAAATCAATTATTGAGTTTTTCTGACAAGAAATTCTCAGTAGCTGCCCGGAGTCAGGAAGTTGGCGGTGTCTCACCCCTGTGCCTCGGGAAGCACGTAAAGCCGTTGGTCCTGCACCTGATCTCTCTCCGGTCGTGTCGGTTTACCGTCCCATCGGATTATGGGAGTGAGGGAATAGAGAGTGCACCTGTGCTTGCGCATACACTTGGGCACTATAATCCTGTCCTGCGCCGATGGCTAGCCTCCGTTGAGGCAGGCCGCCGTGACCGAAATTCGGACTGGAGGACATTATTATTGTATTAGGAACTGACCTGGGTAAGGTATCCGCCCATATGTGACGAGTTCGGTGAGTAGTATGCCAAAGGACCAGACGTCGGACTTAATGCTGAACTTGCTGTAATTAGCTGCCTCGGGTGCTGTCCACTTTATAGGGAATCGGGCGCCCACGCGGGCTTCGTACTCGTCTTCCTGTAAACAAACGCAATATTTCAATACGACACCGAGCAGTGAGTGTAAAAGTTGATGCAAATGTACTGTAAATTAAATTAAGCGTGTAAAAGCAGCGTAATGCTTGCAGTGTTTCGTATGGTGAGTGCAGAGAACCGGAGAACCATTTTACTGAAATCGAGGCATTCCAACTTAGTCCTCAGGGGTGACAAAGCATTTGCATTTTGATTCTTAATTGATCATAAATGTGTATATGTCTATGGGCCACAGCATCCACTTACCATCAAGTGGACTGTGTGCTCGTTGTGACCCAATGATATACAAAAAAAGATTTTAGCTCAATCACGATTACAAACTACACACTTTTGTGTCTCTTATATAAGTTAATATATACTGAATTAGATACTAACATAAAATAGGAATTGTGTTTTTGCACAAATATAAGTTCCTAATTTGGGATCCGAGGCAAAAATACGGCGCAACTTACTTATAAATATTAGTTAAAACTAAGCCAATCTGGAATTAAGTACTTAAATGAAGACACCCGTGAACTAGACTTATTGTTAAAACGTTAATCAAAAGTTTATAGCAAAAACGTGGATTACATTGAATAAAACTATTATTTACGTATTTTATCGCGTTTAATTACTTTAATTTATTTTTATTATCCCGACGTTTCGGGTGCTTTACAGCACCCATGGTCAGGGGGGGACTGAGATGTTTCACGTCCCAATGTCATAGTTAGTCCGGCTACCTTCGGAAGGTAAGGTAGCCGGATTAACTATGGGGACGTATCGTCCCAGGGTGCTTCTTAATTAATAAATGTAATTAGGTATGTTATATTTATTCAATGTGTAGTGTTCGCGTAAATTTAAGAAATCATTAACGTGGATTACGTTTTTGCTATAAACCATTGATTAACATAAATATGCTACTCTACTACTCTTCGATAACCTCTAAGATAACTATTAGATGGTTATGACGCAAACATATAGCTTCTTAAATGATGCACAGGCATTAAACGAGTCACGAATACTTATTCATTAGTATTTATTGATACTGATACATTATAGTATAATATTTTTATTGAAGCAATATGTTTATGCAATAATATTCTAAAAAAATATCAACAACTTACAGACTGCGGCGATCCAAGTATAGATTTAAATAGCATCTCTCGTGTTTTAGACACCAGTGTGATTTATAACTGTACCATAAAAGCAAGAGTAACAACGACGTCCAATAAATGATTATGGGCAACCTACTTGACGGAAAGTGGATGCCGTGGCCCACAAAGGACTACATCTGGTCTCGATTAAGAATCAAAATGCAGATGACGTTTTTGAACAAGGCATTATTTCATCTTAGTCCTCTAGCGGACCACGCCTGAGAAAAAATATGAAATGTTACCAGTTTAAAAAATCTAAAAAGGACAGCAGCCATACGAAATACATCAGCACTGTATTGCTATTTCACGCTGGTAACCTGCGCGCGTAGCGAGTTTAGTCCTTTCATCGATATAATATATCTAAGCCTTAACCAAAAAGACATGTTTTTGATAAACAAGTGAATATAATTTTTTGCCGAATTCCTTTTATTAAATTATTAAACAATAAATTATATTTATTTAATTATATACTAGCCGTGGTAGTTCAGATGGTTAACGCTCGCTGTAAGTATAAAAGAACGCGAGTAACCCGGTTTCTATCCCCGCCGGCACCAATGAAATTGTTAATTGCAATTTTAGTGCTGATTTACCACGTGCTCGGCGGTGAAGGAAAACATCGTGAGGAAGCCCGCATGTGTGAGGAATAAGAAAAAAAAAACATTTCGAAGACATGTGAAGTTCGCCAACACGCAAAGGGGCAGCGCGGCGGACACTTCCTTCCCTAAAACCTTCTCAGAAATGAGGGGAGGCCTGTGCCAGCGGTGGAATGTATATAGGCTGTAACTTTACTTTACTTTTTTTAATTCTATACTTATTTTATCATTATATCTAAATTTAAATTATTATAAAATATTTTTATTAACAAATGGCTAGCCTGCTACAATCAAACATACATAATATAGCGAGTGGCCCTGCAACGTTTAATAATGGAACGTTAATTACGTACAACTTTTTTATTGCTATTTTGTTAGGCGCTCGTTCTTATCGAAATCGCGAACACATATTATACTTAACCCTCCGTGCTCAAGTTGTTTATATATATCTTTAAATAAAGATTCACCCAAATAAGGGTCGGTAGCTATAAAAATCATAAGGAAACATCACAGGTATCACACTATGTATAAAATCCAATTACACAGCTTTTAAATAAAAACATTTTACTTACTTTACCGCACTTCTGAGACATTTATTGTTATAACAAAAAAAGGGCCATATATGAAAAGAGACTAATTAATTTAACAATGAATTAGCAATAAAAAATTTAAAACTAAATTTTAAAAATATTTTATTCTGACCTTTGAATATGGCCTTGCGAATTGCTTAATGCGAATGCGGTATAACATTGTAATTGACATTAAGCGAAAATCGCGTATAGAATCTGTGACAGTTGCAACTAATAGACTTTTTTCATCATTGTAATCAACATAATATGAACAATAGGAAATAAAAACGGTTTCTAATCATAATATCATTCTTTCCTTCTTTGTGTTTTTAAAAATCCAACTGTTATTTTCACATCATAAAGTAAAGAACAAAACAAGAAACAAAAGTTATACGTGGTAGAGCCATGCTGCAGTTATATTAGTAGTATAGTTGCAGCACGAATGGGTCGGCTCGACCGGGGAAGGACCACGCTCTCACAGAATACCAGCGTGAAATAGTAGCTTAATGCTGCTGTGTTTCGTATGATGAGTGTAGAGATCCGGAGACCCTTTTTACTGGAAACGAGGCATTCCATCTTAGTCCTCACGGGTGACAACGCATCTGCATTTTGATTCGTAGTCGAGGATAGATGTAGATGTCTATAGGCTACAGCAACCACTTACCATCAGGTGGACTGTGTGCTCGTTTGTCACCCTATCCTATAAAAAAGTGTCTATGACCACACGAAATAGTTGACAGCATTTTACCTATATTAACATTTATTATCTGTGACATTCAATTTGATATTTATGAGGCAAGTATCGAAAGGAGTTTTGGCGGGAACTTGGCCGTAGACGGATTGTCGCTCCTGTTTTGTCGCTTGAATAATGGGTTGAAGTGGATTTTGATTCGTAAAAATGATGCGATTTTGTGAATTAAGTATCCGCGCGTGTGAACTATTAGAGAAAACGACGAAACAAGTGCTTTGATGTCGATTTAAACCTCAAGTTATTTTGATCGCTTGGGCGCCTCATGAACTTGAGTGGCTGTCGTCATCAACTGTCCGCTAGGTGGAGCTGTCGTCAAAATCTCCCAAGGGCTTCGCAATGTGACGCATCAGCATATTGTGAAGAAAAAGAACATAAACTTCTTTTCCACCGGAAAGCCTCAAGACAAGGTGTGACAGACCGAAGACCGGACATTGGCAGAATTATTGTGACATTATCACAATACCAAGGGCCATATAGTTATTTAAAAAAAAAGTATCGAAAGTGACGACGAGTAGTTCGGGCGAGAAAGCCAAACTTAGCCAACCAGAAATAGCACACGAAGCTGGCAGTGTCACTATTCGACATTTATGGCGTTATTAAATTAATTTCTTATTGCATCTGTTGTGTTTTACAATAAGACTAGCGATATACAGCCTTATGTTTGCGGCGTAAGCAACTTGTGTGGCACGCCTAAGCCTATATCAATAAAACGTTTAATGTTAAAGTAAAGGTTTAACCATAAAGTGTCACCACAAAGCTGGTTGATATATATTATTAACAACCGTTAGGTATTTTAGTTTATATTTCATTTATATTCACTACCATAGGTAGAAATATATTATGACAGTTACTAAGGTAACTCTTCAAGAAAGGCGATAACGCTCTCATAAAGAAATACAGACCGATTTCCCTTCTGAGCCGTTTGTTTTCGACGAACGTGCTGTTTTCGAGAGTCATTACGAATCGTCTCGCACGCAGACTCGACCGTTTGGTTGAATCATTAGTGGTTGATGACAATAGGACATTAGGTTGTATTTCATTTATTCCTTCAGTCATTAAGGCTTAAAATCGCTTGGGAAATAGTTTATTTTAATAGTTTTTAATGCCAAAAAATTTCAAGAAACGTTACACAATAAACATTCTAAGATAGTTCGAACAGTTTTTAGGACATTCATCACATACTAAGTAGAAATATTGTTAATTCAATAAAAGATAATATAAACGATTATTTTGATATAATGCTAATAAATATAGAGACTAAAATCCTATCTTTCATCATGTCGCCTAACAAGTCTGTTACCTTTATGAGCCTGGCGAGACCAAAGTCGGCGATCTTGACGATGTTCGCGTCGGCTACAAGCACATTCCTGGCAGCAAGATCACGGTGTATGTAGTTCTGTGACTCGAGGTACGCCATGCCGGCCGCGATCTGAGCCGCCATGTCTATCAGCTGCTGCAGTTTTAGACCGCGCCCTTTGCCTGCACATATTAGTTATAATAGTTGTAATAAAAAAAAATTACTAAAAGTATTTTATGTAATCTATATTTGAGTGACCGGTTGAGTGGTTGTGAACCAGGTCACGCGGTCACTCAACCAACTCAACCAACGCAGTGACCTGGTTCACAGTGCCTGGCTACTTCCCCACGTGTTCTGGTTATCGTGGTTTGTCCCAGAGTCTAAAACTGCTTCCGAGCCTATTTAAGATACAGATAGAAATAAATGTACGTTGTAGGCGAGCTTGAGTACACCACTTTATTACATCACGCTATTACAACAAAGTCTCAAAAAATGTACAAGGTCTCTATTACCAAGTTTAAATATTTTATTATACAAAAACAGTATAAAAAGCACGTAATAAATAGATTGTTATATTATATGATTGTTTGTTGCTAATAACCCCTGGGAATAATAAGGTGGTCGCTTCCAAACTGTTTCTAAAATAAATTTTGTAAATAGTTTGTAAAACTTCTCCTATTGTATAATTTACTTAGAAAACAGAGGGATTTTTTCTGAACCAGTGGTAAAAGTAAAAATTACTTTCAATAAGAATTAGGTACATGTAATCTATATAGATCTCCAAACGCATGCGGCGGGACTTACGCAACTTCAATACAGCTCGTATTGATGAAGCGATCGAGCGGAACCACGGCTCCAAAGACTGCCGGAGATCTGTCTGTCAGAAAGAGACAACTGTCGAAGCTGAAGCCTGAGTGTGGCAGCATTGTTTCCGGGACACCTGAGATTTTGAGTGAGATTGAGAGGCTCTATGGCAGCTGTACACATCATCGTTGGAGCCACACGCAAGCTTGAGTAACGGTCCAAGAGCAAGTCTTACCCGACACTATTCCGATGATATCCCGGACGTCAGTCTGAGCGAGATTAGAATAGCTCTCCAGCACCTTAAAAACGGCAGGGCTTCAAGCGAGGATAGAATTACAGTAGCTTCTGAAAGCGGGTGGAAAACCGGTACTTGATGTCCTTCAGAAGCTCTTTAATTCCGTCCGCCATAGGGGCATTATTCCAGTGGCGGGGAGTACAAGTGCGGTGGTCCTTTTCTTCAAGAAAGGCGACAACGCTCTCTTAAAGAAATACAGACCGATTTCCCTTCTGAGCCGCGTCTACGTGCTGTTTTCGAGAGTCAATACGAATCGTCTCGCATGCAGACTCGACGACTTTCCAGCCTCTCGAACAAGCTGGTTTCCGAAAAGGCTTCAGTAGCATACTTTGCCTTGCGTATGTAGATTATGTAAGACTTTGATTCCGTCGAAATTTGGGTGGTGTTACAGGCCCTTCAGTGGTGCCAAGTTGACTGTCGGTATATCGAAGTGCTGAAGTGTTTGTACAGTAGGGTTAGGTTGGCTATCCAAGTACACAGAACCAGAGTACGAAACTTATCTAACTGCACAGAGGTGTAAGACAGGGTGACGTTATATTCCCGAAACTCTTCACCACTGCATTGGAAGACGTTTATAAAGTGGAAAGGATACGATATTAATGTCAATGGCAAGTACATCACTCACCTTGAATTTGCCGACGATATAGTTCCTATGACAGAATCGCTGGAGGACCTAAGCACTATGCTCAATGACCTCAATAGTGTCTCCCAACGGATAGGTCTTAAGATGAACATAGATACAGAGTAGGGCACATTTTTTGTTTGGAACAGCTTCTCTAGTACGAAGTACATATAACTCAATGGTGTGCAACAATTTATTATTAAGTGGACTTATGTATTAATTCTAACATTTTTATTGAATAAATAAAAATGATTTTTTATAGTTTGCCAATTCCTAATTAAATATTTAAGTGCAAAAATGTGTTAATAAATATTACTAACCTTGCAAGTACTCCAACAAGGAACCGTTCTTCATAAGCTCAGTTATGATATAGATCGGCTCCTCGAGCGTGCACACAGCGTACAATTGGATGAGTTTGTTGTGCCGCAACTTTTTCATTATCTGTGCCTCTGCGAGGAAGTCTTTCGGATCCATAGTTCCTGGCTTGAGGGTCTTAATTGCCACCGGAGTTGTATTGTTCCACAGACCCTCCCATACTTCGCCGAATTGGCCATGCCCAAGCTTTCTAGCGAATTTAAGGGATGAACGGTCTATTTCCCACTGGTCGCGAGTTCTATGTGATAGTCCTTCGGTCACGGGCTTTTCAACCTGTAATTAATAAAAGAACCAAGCATAAGTTTAATATATAACAAACAAGACACTTTATTATGTTTGATAATTCAAAACTTGGATTTTCATTTTGGTTTTATTGTGATGGATTGGGGGTTGTATTTAGAATCCTACGGCGTGATTTCATTGGAGATTTTGTTCTTTATCTAAGAACAATAATGCTCTGATGCACGGTTGAACGAATTTTTACGAAAATATGTAGTTCCCATGAAACAATTTTTTCAAGTATTTAAGTTAATTGGGGCTATAAACGAGAGCAGAATATTTATTGTTTACTAAAATCAACAGGAAATACGACAGCGTAATAGAGATCAGAGGTACCAACATTAACACTTCCTTGTTAGGTTTTGTATTGAAACACGGAATATTGACACCTCTTCCCCATCACACCCCTCCCTCACCCAATCAACCACATATCAAGACGACTTATTTAGGTTCTAGAGTTTATTTATTTTTAGTTTGCAAATTGATTCTTTTAATACAAAATATTCATAAACGCATATTAAGAAAAACTAAGTTCCCGCGGTGAAGTTCAGGAGCCCCCTCTCTGTCATCCTCCCTCCTTGTGGCGCAGGATACTAAAGCAATACTTGGGTTAGGATAGGGTTCGTCAACAATTTCGTCAACCATCATGGCTTTAAGGTAACAATTCACGTTTCTTAATCTCAGTTATTTACTCGAGAAATAACAGACTGGTTTATTTTTAGAATATGAAGTCACCCTGAAGATTGTTTTAATCTTTTTTTCAATATAATTTTACAAGAATGCATTTGCGAGCAGACACGCTATATTTATCTACCACACAGTTAATTGTGCAGAATTGAATCGACTAATGCTTGACGCTTGCAAGCGGCGAGGAAGAGTTATCATAACAATAGACAGTAAAAACTAATTTCCATATATTATACTTGTCGATAAAAATAAAAGTTTTACTCATGCCTGAGATTGGAAACTAATATGAGAGAAGAATTACGTAATTGCTTGTTACTGCGTCTCTTAAAATCAATTACTCTTAAATAAATCAATTTAGACTAGTTATGTGTAAAATGGAGTCGATTTAATAACAACTATTGTGAGAGTCTTTAGAGGTAAGACGTGAAGGCGACATGTCTGCTAGCGTTGACGCCTGCTTGACTTGCTGACAAATTAGTTCTAAGTGGAGAGCTCTTAGTTTAGATACTGGTATTGCCTAAATATCATGCATTGCGAGATAGTTTATCGCGCGATTATGTGATTTTATGTAACAACTATTGCACTGCGTCGGCTTCTAGGAATTAAGATGTGTTAAATTGATACTAAATATTTTTTCTTAGACTACTAATTAAAATTGTAATTATATTATTATGATTAAGGCCTGTAGTTGATTTTAAATATTTTTTTACGTCTTTTATCAAAAAATTACTAGTGACTACAGGTACGGACGAGCAGCCGTTTCGTGCATATTGCATCCATATATGTTTTGTTCCTTACATTGACTTCTTTTTTTAACTCAGGATCGTTTCGTGGAATCCATGTTACATCTAGGGTCCAGGGTTTAGATTTGCGTTACCGCTGTTTGGCGAGAGCTGTAAGCATTTACAGTAATGAATACGTAAAAATATTTTCATAAGCAAATGTTCATGCAAATTTTATACGACAACATGCTCGACGGTTAAGGGTACTTTCATTTTCGACCATCTTCAATCGGAGTATCGCCAATTTTATCGATAAACTTCCGTCTAGGACGTAAAGTTCGCCACTTGATGAAATCTCTTTGAAAAATATATAACATAGCGTTTTTGTTCTACATGTGATGAAGATGATGCTCCATTTTGCGTGAAATGTCGGTTGCGTTTGATAAATTAACATTGAATGTTCAAGAGATGATCTAACTAATTTAAAATAATAAAATTTGCCGCACGGTGACGACGTATGAAACTTCATTACACCATTTTATCCCGTGAGGGACATACGGACGACTATAGGAAACTCTTGGAAGATCTTATGGCTTCTAATAAATGACCATATACGATTTTATTTACACCAGACGTAAAATACCCAGATTGGTGACGGGCAGCTTTATAAGTACGAAAGCTCTAGTACTGCTATTGCCAATACGTCTGCTAAGGATGATGATTAACGCGCTTCTTCCTAACAACGCGACGGTTTATATCTAACAATGAACATTTAACGGCTGAAGAAAAAGAAAAAAATAAAGAGACAGGTAATGTAATTACCACCCCTGCACCCGCAACTATTATTACCAGTAATGAGACGACGTGTCATTGCTCAGTGCCCTGACCTAACGTCATGAACTAATCAGCCACCTCTCGTATTGTCAGGGTTTTTTTTACGTAAGTCTACAAATACACTTTGTTGTATATATTTAGATGGTTAGCGGAAGTCGTCACTTAGCAGAAATCGAGCAAGAATTAACATACGTCAGTGTTTCAGTGTTTTATTTTTTATTCACGACGCGTTGTAACACGACACCTGTGGAGTACTGTGGGTGGGCATCGACCGCGACTGCCTATGTCACGCTCGCCTCCGTCCGCAAGCCTCGACTAACGAATACTCGTTAACGATCATACGTCCGATTGTGTTATCGATTTTATATGAGATAAATCGCTTGTATTATTAAAGTTTACGTCTTACATCTGATTCAGATATTATAATAGCTAATGTATATCAAAAAGTTTTAGACAGCGGATAATACATTGCTAAATTTAATAATAATATCGTTTCTAATACAATTAACGAGAGGAACTATATCGCGCCACATACGGTGTTAAAATACAGAAGCGTTAGTAATCACATTGTCTTTGCTACCGTAACGCTATGCAAATTAGAAGCGAAAGTTATGCAACATACAAATTATATGCAAATTCGTAATAAAACAGTATGGAAGTCGCGCTCGACGGTCCCAACATGTAAAGCGTATCGTAAATCGCGTAGTCGATGTAATCGGTCGTCGGCTCGTTGCACAAAGCGAGATTATTTGTTATACAATATGTCAAACTGGGGTTAGTGAGCCAGCAAGTTTAACCGTAAATTAAAAATACTGGTGAGTAATGTGGTGATAAACTTTACCACTTTTAATCATCCAACTATTAATCGCATCATTTAGGGTGTCACTGAGAGCATCAAACTTCAGGTAAATCCATCCATATGGTGTGGGTGGTATTGGGGGTTTTGTCGCGATGTGCGATGGTTTCGAATTTGACGGCTGAAATTAATCCAAATTATTCCTCCAAATGTGATAAAAAAATCAAAGAGGTGCAACATCTCTTCGCAGCGCTAGTGAGTCGAGCCGATTAGAAAGAACTCGGTTGTCGACTACCAAGAGAACAGTGTTCTATTCTGTGTGAAGCTGAACTTGCACCTTATAAAAAATTCAAAATGCAAACGTAGCGGTGCGATGCGCGATAGGACTATTAGAGTGCGAGAATAGAACTAAGAAAGTGAACTACAATGTTCTCTTTCAATGACAAGAAGAGAACCAGTGTAACCGACAAAGCCCAAAGGATCAGCAAGCAGCCTGTAGTAATGTTGTTTACTGGTGTTTGACTACTTTTCGGTCTAGTTGTCTAAGTAGACACCACACCTTATTATCTATTTCTATGACCAAGCGGTAAAGTAATCGCTGCTGTATTCTGCCGTCGTATCTGTGATCTTACTTATATTATTTAAAGTTGGTGCAGGGGGAGACTGCAAGTTTGAAAATTGCACAAGGAAACCTACGACAAAATGGAGTAATGAACTGATGTGTCGAGTAAAAGTTGCCTTTACATGATACATCAGTTCGTTGCTCCATCCATCCCTTAGGAGAACACAGTTAGTTCAGGACAGTGCCTTGTGACAGTCTGTGGGGAAAACGTCATACTCCTATTTACATTATTATATGCATTAGTTTGTCCTCATTTTCTCAAGACCATTAAATAACACTGAGTCACATCTTTATGATGTTTTTTGTCACGTACGCGAAATAAAATTGAATGTTTACAGCCTGACGTTAATTTTTAATATCTTAACGAGCACTATTGTTCAGTTTTCGAACTACTTAACAATCGAGTTATTTTCCTTTCGAATGAACGTTTTGTTCTTGTAACAATATTTATTTTTACATAGTGCCAATGACGTAAAGACTGACCTTTATCTACCTGGCACCCACGAGTATATAACAAATTTACTGAAATTTATTGCAATCATTTCAATATTCCCTTTATCTGCTTGCACGAGATCAAAAAGAATATATTTACGTCACTCAACAGGGTAGTTTAGTATTAATAGTATAGTTATAGGTTCGACCGGGTAAGGACCACGCTCTCACAGAATACCAGCGTAAAATAGTAGCCTAAAATAGTAACTGGAAACGAGGCATTCCATCTTAGTCCTCACGGGTGACAACGCATCTGCATTTTGATTCGTAATCGAGGATAGACGTAGATGTCTATGAGCCACAGCAACCACTTACCATCAGGTGGACTGTGTGCTCGTTTGTCACTCTATCCTAAAAAAAAAAAGTTGACACTGTTACCGCTACAGCCTGTTAAAATCTACTGCTCAACATAGATCTCCTTCTTAGAGGAGACATTGGTCATAGTTGCCACGCTTGGCAAGCGGATTTGCAAGCGCAGTATTTTCATTTTTAGTCGTTATTAGGAAGATGCTGCTACCCATCACCATCACCTCTTCTGTCGCCTCTTACGACATCCACGGGATGACATGGGGTAGTGGATATTCTTAAACCGCCACTACACGGTACCAGCATAATTAATAAATTACAATATATAATTTGAATTCACTACGTTCAGTAGTGTCTTAAAACTTTGTTTCGTTTTCCGTTTTAAAATAAAATATTTTTTTAAAACACCAGTAAACAACATTACTACAGGCTGCTTGCTGATCCTTTGGGCTTTGTCGGTTACACTGGTTCTCTTCTTGTCATTGAAAGAGAACATTGTAGTTCACTTTCTTAGTTCTATTCTCGCACTCTTAAT